CTTACGGTGAATTTTGGTAAGTAAGCCAGTATTAGCTAATTTGATTTCATTCGGTTATGGACACAAAATTTATTCATTACCTTAAGAAAAAGAACAATTAAAACTTGGATTTATTTCTTTGACCGTTGATTTCTAACGTACCATTGAAGCTTTCCTAAAGAAGAAGACGCAGGGAAGAAAAAAAAAATTGTCCAGAAATTATTTCGTGTTCTGAAGCCACGAAGAAAATTCTGATTCAAGAATTGAAGTAACAAAGTTTACAAGAGGAGAAGAAGAAGGAGACCAAAAAAAAAAAGTTACTTGTTTTGTTCTTCAATGGCTGAAAATAGTAAAGCTTGGATTTTTAATGTTTTATAATGGAGATTTTTCCAGTTATGGTGTTGAAGTGAAGCTATTACAGATCTGAGGTTATTGCATTTTCCATCAAAATTGGGTTTAATAATCTTCAGTGATCTGGGATTTGGTAATTGGAAAGATCTGGGTCTTCTCTGCTTTGTCTTTGAAGCTTTGTGTTTTGAGTAATTTAGGGTTTAATCAAAAGAAAAGCTGTGTGCTTGATCTGGAAAGTTGCTACTTGTTCACGCTAAGTGTTTTTTTTTGGGTTGGTAAAGTTTGGTGTGTGATACTGAAAAGTCTGGGAATTTTAGGTTTTTGATTCCTAATTTAGTGATTGATCATCTTTGCTCGTGGGAGATTTCGAAAAATTTCATGTGAATTTGAGGTTTTTTTTGGTGGTCGGAATTTGTAGATGGCAACAACACCGGCACAACCTCCGGTAATAAATTCTCCACCGGTGATTTCACCACCACCACTGAACAATTCTCCTCCAAGTAACAATGCTACTACAGCACCGTCTCAGTCTCCTCCTCCGGTTACACCACCTCCGGTGACTTCGCCGGTCCCTCCATCACCACCGCCACCAACTAGAGCTCCTCCTCCGGTTACGACCTCATCACCACCAAATGGAGCACCTCCTCCTCCTCCTCCTCTGCCAAAACCACCTGAGGTCTCTCCTCCACCACCACCACCACAACCAGTGAACACTTCACCTCCTCCTCCAGTTCCACGGTCACCACCACCAACACCATTGGTTCAGCCACCGCAATCCTCTTCTCCACCACCACCATCGGTGCAGCCACCAACTAAAACGCCTCCACCACCATTACCTTCTTCTTCACCTCCACCACCTTCATCTGTTCCTCCACGGCCTTCGCCTTCCCCTCCAATCTCACAACGCTCTCCTCCTCCTTCACCGCCTTCAGATCGATCTCCTCCTCCTCCTTCACCGCCTTCAGACCGTTCTCCTCCTCCTCCTCCTTCACCGCCGTCTTCAGAGCCTCCCACTCAGTCTTCTCCTTCACCACCAGATGATACTACACCCCCACCTCCTAGTCCACCAAATTCTTCTCAACCACCAACATTCTCCTCACCGTCTCCTCCACAAATACTTGTACCAGGTTCTCCTAACAATCCATCTCAGAACAACCCTACTCTTAGTCCCCCTGATACTTCAAATTCTACTGGTAGTAGTGGAATTGGTACTGGAGCTGTCGTTGGTATCACTGTCGGAGTGGCGCTTGTGTTGCTCAGTCTTATCGGACTCCTTGTCTGGTGCTTGAGGAAACGAGAAAAACGGCTTTCAGCTGTTAGTGGTGGCTCTGTTACACCATCACCAATGAGCTCCTCCACCCAAAGATCAGGTAATTAGTTTTGATAGCAATCCTAAAACTAGATGTTAGATCTTGTCTACGAGGATATGTAACAAATTGTTTCTTGATTTTCATTACGTTTTTTTGATATTCATATGTGCAGATTCAGCTTTTTTTAMGATGCAGTCATCTGCACCTATTGTACCGGGAAAGCGTTCAGGAAGCGATCTTACGTATTTCTCGCAATCACAATCTGGCGGCTTAGGCAATTCGAAGGCATTGTTTTCCTACGAAGAACTTGTGAAGGCAACAAATGGTTTTTCACAAGAAAATCTTTTGGGTGAAGGTGGATTTGGTTGTGTATATAAAGGGATATTACCAGATGGGAGAGTAGTTGCTGTGAAACAACTTAAAATTGGTGGAGGACAAGGTGACCGAGAGTTTAAAAACGAAGTCGAGACTCTTAGCAGAATTCATCACCGTCATTTGGTTTCGATCGTGGGACAATGCATCTCTGGTGACCGCAGATTGCTCATTTATGATTATGTCTCTAACAATGACCTTTACTTCCACCTCCATGGTAAGTAAAAACATTTTCCGATATTTACAATTCATATAATACACACGCAACCACGGGTACTCACACTACGTCTCCTAAACAGCATCCAAAGAAGTTCTGGACTGGGCATCACGTGTTAAAATTGCGGCTGGGGCAGCTCGCGGACTTGCTTATCTCCACGAAGACTGTAAGTTGTTGCTTAGCTCACTAGTTTAACCTTTTCAATCATATTTTCTTGATTTGGACGGCAACTTCATATCGCTTTCTTCCATTTTCCTACATCTACCACGCTACTTTGGAAAAAGTTCCTCTCAAATGCTTTCTGCAACTTTGAGTTCTTTGATGTTTTCTTGTAGTCCCATTCGAAAAGACCGAGTCTTAATTGTAACCTCTAAACATTTGGCTATTCTTACTAAATTGTCTGTTGTCAGGTCACCCGCGTATCATTCACAGGGACATTAAGTCGTCTAACATTCTTTTAGAGGACAACTTTGATGCTCGGGTATACATTAGTCTGCTGTTATGGATTTTCAAGGTTTTCAGTTACATTGCGGCTTTAACAATATTTGATCTCTCATTTTTGTAGGTTTCTGACTTTGGTCTCGCAAGATTAGCTCTTGACTGTAACACTCATATCACCACACGGGTTATGGGAACATTTGGGTATGTGCTGCTTGCCTTGTTTGGTTAAAGGACACAAATAACGTCACACATTTTTGCATCTGATTGATATTTTTTCCATTCATCTATTTCAGCTACATGGCTCCTGAATATGCATCAAGTGGAAAATTAACAGAGAAATCGGATGTGTTTTCCTTTGGAGTTGTTCTGCTCGAGTTAATCACTGGACGTAAACCAGTGGATACATCGCAACCGATGGGAGACGAGAGCCTTGTTGAATGGGTAAATCCGCTATCTGAACATTTTCTTTAAACCCTCAGGCCGTTTAAACCTTTGCATAATCTGTTTTTCAGGCCCGGCCTTTGGTAAGTCATGCCATCGAAAACGAGGAATTTGATTCTTTAGCAGATCCCAAGCTTGAAGGAAAATATGTGGATTTTGAAATGTTTAGAATGATTGAAGCAGCAGGAGCTTGCGTGCGCCATTCAGCTGCCAAAAGACCTCGGATGGGACAAGTACAAACATTTTCTTTTCTTCGTTCCTCGACAAGAGCTTATATTGCTTAATAAAACTTGAAGGAATCTTGAAATATTTTTACAGATTGTAAGAGCTTTTGAGAGTTTAGCTGTTGAAGACCTCACCAACGGGATGAGACTAGGGGAAAGCGAGATCTTTAACTCAGCTCAACAGTCCGCAGAGATCAGATTGTTCAGAAGAATGGCATTTGGTAGCCAAAACTACAGTACAGATTTTTTCACACATACTAGTTACGGTAGCAGAGACGACGAACACGTGTAAATATCATATACAGATTGCTTTTTTTCTCTAGCCATTAGAGGTAACAACACATCAAGAACAAGCCAGTTTTGTCTTTAAAACCTCCTCATCTTTCGCGCCTCGAAGCAGAGCCTTCTCGAGTCCCCGAAGCAGTACGAATCTTCTTCTCTGTCGTTGTTTCTTCTTGATTTGTGTTCATATTTCTGTTTCTACATGGTGAAACTAAAGAGACTACGAAATTCATTTTGCAGAGAAACAGAGGATTTCAGAGGAGCATGTGGTTGAACAAGAAAAGAGAGGAGGTTTCGTTTCTTACATGAAAAGTACTTTTTGTATCTATTTCTTTGTTTACTCTTTACCATTACGTTTGCACATTCTGTGACGTTTTCTTCCTCGTCATGTTGTCTCATTCTTATATACTTGTGATAAATCAACAAGAGATCTTTCTTTGTCTCTCATTGTGTGTTCATCTAGCTCAATTCTCACCACCAAAAAGACTGATTTACCCTTGTGAATCACCATGTGTAAATAGAGTAGAATCAAAGGAAACTAGAAAGATTTAACGTCCAAGATTCCTAAAACAATGCTTTTAAAAGTGTCTAAAATCCCATGTGATACCAATACTTTGCCTTTGCATTGTTGATACCAATATTGGAAAGGAACATATTCCTTTGACACAATCCGATGTTACTTCTTAAGTTCTGTTTCCTTTATATCTTTGTTGTTACCTTAAACAGTTGTTTTTTTTAATGCATCAAGAGTAATGATGGAACAAGATTGTGGTGCTTATGCAGCAGATTGTGTTATCCTCTGTTGCTGTTGCGAGTGCTTTGTGCTACAAGTCTTTATCTTCGTCTTCTTCAAGATTCCTCGTAAACTTGCTCAGAAGTTGAAGTGCTTTGTGACCAGGAGGCTCCGAGGAAAGAAGAGAAGAGACGCGAAAATCTTCTTACCCACAAAGGAGGAGGATTGCATAGAGGAGTCAAGTTTTAGTTGCATGAAAGATATTGAGAAGATGTTGCAGGAACTTTCCATGGAGGGAGAGTTTGTGTTTGGTAGTTTCTGGCGACAAGGAGAGACTTCGAACGATTTGGATTTCGGAAACTCACGATACGAAATAGCTGAAAACAGAGATCATTCCTTGTCATTGCTCATCGAGCGAGATGTCTTATTGGATTCAAGAATCCAAATAATGAAGCGTTGAGAGGACAGAACCAAAAAGGGGTATTAAACTTCCCTATGCATTCTCCATTTACTATAAAGATTGAGAACGACATTAAGAAATTAAAGGACTAAATGGAAATCTTGCAAGAGCAAAAGAAGAGAAAAAGACTAGTAGATGATAATCTACTGGAACTATATGTGTAATCTTCAGCTGTTCCGTAACGCGATTCACTGACATAATCAGATGTTCTGTAAGGTCTCATTTCTTAATCAGGCAAGGCTGCTATAATCAGAATGTACAACGACTGGTTAACCAGCCTTCCCTGAACCAGTCTGAAGCAAGAAAGGTTCTTGCTTTCATATATTTATGCTTCTATTTACGTCCTGCGAGTCAGTTGAAAAATGCAATATCATTCGAGACGAGGCAGGTTGGTATTTAGTTACTCCGTCCGTTGTCATGATTCAGACTCAGATCTCCTCACTGATCTCTTTTTAGCTTCTAATCTGGCGGTGAACCCAACTGTTGTAGGCCGTATCGATCTTTGCCTCACCATATCACAGTACTCGGGGTCATTACACTGACCCTCGTACCGTAGCCATTGTATCATCCCATGGTACATTGGGAAAAACCTCATCTGGATTGCAGAGTAGATGAAGTATGGCATCAATGTCGATACAACCACAAAGAGAGTAATGACCCAGTAAGAAAGTGAAGGCGCCAAAGCTTCAACAAAGACTCTATATGCACCGGTTGATATTCTTGTAGGAAGTTCTCCGTACACCGTGATGAAAAAGTACCAAACGATGATGGAGCCCCAAATGACAATGTGCTGGATCAGAGTGAAGTAACTGATAGCCAATGCTATCTGCAAATTCACAACCCAAACAATACATGTGTACATTGTCCCGCCTAGGATTTCTCTACCCACGGTTTTTCCTTCGTGGTTGAAAGCTTGAGATTCGAGCGAGCTTTTGCAGAGGTAGAAAACAATTATTGCACTGTAGAATCCGTTGAACATCCAGCCAAGTATCCTGCGCCAGCTGAACAGAACGTTCTGCACGCCTTCTTGGTATAACAATGGAAACTGTGAAACCAAGAAAGCATTTAGCACAGTCTGTTTGACCGGTGAGAAGATTAAGCTGCTGTAGTGAAATGATGAAGTTTACCTTGAGACAAAACCGTGCAGATACATCCTGGTCGAAGACACCAAGAGCAATAACGGGAAGGGACGAGAAAAAGACATTATAAAGAGATAGAAACCAGTCGTTGTAGGCAGGTGTCGATGAGAATGATGTGTATGCTTCATATAAGAAGAGAGTGAAACCGAACGTAATGTTCTTGTAGAAGAAGTAGCAAATCTGTGAATATAGAAAATTAGTCAGGCCAAAAGTATTGATTATGTTAAGACTCCTGGCACAAAAGGTTGGTCTCAATCTGAAGATGTAGAAATGATAGTTACCATTGTGGAGATCCGCCTGTAACACCAGTGTCCATGTACGAGTAACAAACGTTCCAGATATTTGAACTGCGCAATGGCAATGTCACTGGACATTACAGCCTGAAAACATGATTAGGATTAGGCCACACACAAAAAAAAAAAAACACACAGCGAAAGCAGAAAATGATTGTTATATAAATATATAAACTGAACCTGCATTCCTTCCACGCCGCTAATCCCAACACCTATATCTGCTTCCTGAAGCATACCAACATCATTTGCGCCATCACCAATTGCTAGTGTCGTTTTACCATTTCCAGATTTTACTAGTCTTGTCACCTATATCGCAACGAAATTCTTGAGAAAATCTTGAAAACAGCAGATGTACACCGAAGAATAACAAGTTATAAAACTGACCAGGGCTTTCTGTTTTGGTGATGAACGACAACAAATGACAGACGCGCAACCAACGGCTAGCTCTAGGAATATGTGCTTTACATCATCATCCAACGCGTAAGACAGTGATTTTCCATCAATGATTAAAGCGAAAGCATCAGAGTTCCCACCAGAATACTTTAGCTGAGTCTTTCCATTAATTATCTGCATCAAGACATTTTCCTTTGATGCCTGCAAGATAAAAGAAGCTTTATTTAAAATCTTCAGCTAATATCATTCCCGAAATATCGATTTCTTGGCTATTTTTTACCTTTGCAATGGCATCTTTTTCTCCTGTTTTTTCCAGTGAGTGGATTTCAGGGGTCTCCAAGTTGATTATAATCTGCTTCATGTCTTGTCTGAGCAAACTACAAGAGAACCTGTAAAAGACATACATACAAAGTGTTCATAGAGTGGAAATAAAGAAGCAAAACTGTATGCAGGAACTCAAGAGTAGATAATATTAAGGTGATACCCAGAAATTGATACCCAATATTGATAGCAGTCTCCATTTTATCACCAGTCAAAACCCAAATCTTTATTCCTGCTTGAGCAAGCTTGTCGATGCAATCCGGGACCTGAAAGAAATCAAGGATCAAGGGAAAAGATTTAACTAATTGTATGCACCAACTATAATTTGGTTATATGAATAAAATCAAAGGCTTGCTTACTCCATTTTGAAGTTTATCCTCAACCGCAGTAGCTCCAAGAAGAATCAAGTCTTTCTCAACCTTCTCTGTAACTTCCACTATCAGCGATTCTCGATCAGCACTAACCGAACTCTTGGCTTCACTGATTCTCTCATTGAAAACTTTATATTCTTGCGCATCAAGTTCACGGTATGCCAGTATCAAAGTTCTCAGGCCTGCATCAGCATACTCGTTCACATGGTCCCGTGTTTCCTCTTCAAACTCTCTACCATTCTTTGAAAGTCTTTCAAACATAACACTGGAAAACGAAACAAATCGAAAAATTTAAGTTCAAAATCTATTTGAAAAGATTATCTAAAGTCACATGTCACTTACTTATCTGCTCCTTTACAAAGTAATAATAGTTTTCCATCTTCCTCCTGGACGATAACCGACATTCTTTTCCTCGTGCTGTTGAACTCAAGAACGTTCAGAACTCTGTACGACCTGCAGCAGAACGCCATTTCGATTTAGCAAGCTTGAAAACAAAAACTTTATAATAGCATGCAATTAATAAGAGGAGATGGACTGACCTTTCAACTCGTTTGCCAGTCACTAGATCAAGCTCTCTTACCGATATGGTAGTTTGAGTTCTGTTAAAAAATTCAAACCCAAGCTCCCTTGCTGCAATAACAAATGCTGCTTCATCGGGCGACTCAGCCTCATAAGAGATCTTTTCTGTATCTTCATCCACTTCAGGTATCACTGTATGGCAAACCGCGAGTAATCTGAAAAACTTCTGAATGACATTGGCATGAGTTTCGGTGACCCAGTTTCCATTCATTATCCTTTCATCTCTAAAGTTGAATCCTTTCACCGTCGATTCTTCAGAAAATGCCTCCTTACTATATTCCATATCACTCTCATTGCTCTGCATCACCAAAGGAGAACCTTTTCTTCTTCCCATAGCCATCTCCACCTCTGTAACGCCACGGCCATAAGCTGTCCCTGCAACAGAACATTTGATGAACTCCATGGAGTTACATGTCAATGTTCCCGTCTTGTCTGAGAGAATTGTATCCACCTGCCCAAGTTCTTCATTCAGATTAGAGGTACGCGCACGAGCTGGCTTGTCAGCTTCTTCATAATACATGTGGATATCCTGATTGATGAAGATGCTCTGAAGGACTTTAACAATCTCTATAGAGACATATAAGGATATAGGAATGAAATAACTGTATAGCATAACCGCGGTTAGAAAGTGATAGATCGCAGCCACTGGCGCTCTTTTGGGGTCAAAGAAGATCCTGGAGCTATCTGGTCTCAAATACCATCTTTTCATCACACCATCTTT